TGAAGTGTTCAACCAAGTGATGCAAGTGTGCCACAACAAGAATCTTGGAGATATTCTTGCCTTGGAGTATGATTGGAATGAGGAGGTCATTGCACAGTTCTATGCGACAGCATTCTTTGGTACTACAAGGAAGGGAACCCCTTATGTGAAGTGGTTGACTGAGGGTGTTAGGCACAAGATTTCCATGGCACAGTTTGCTGAGATGTTGGGGTTAGATGATGAGGATCTCAATAGGCCCAACATTCATAGTGAAGCACCCCTCCCCATGATCAAGACCAAGTTCATGTATGCAAAGGATGCTCCTAGGACTTGCATGGGATCTACTCATGGATTGCATCCCAACTATAAGGTGTTGTACTCCATCTTTTGTTGGTCTTTGCTTCCAAAGGTTGGAGATGCTACTGCTTTGCCATCCAAGCATGCTCATCTTCTTAGTCGCATGCGCTACAATCAACCTCCCTTCAGTGTGATGAAATTGATTTGGTATGAGATCGCCAACACCATTCTTGAGCCTAAGCGGGGTTGCATCTATGCTCCTTTCATTATGAAGATGATTGAGACAATCACCGGGGTATTCTACATCAAAGATGGGCACCATAATCCTTTTCGCCCTCGTGCTCCACCTTCCTCTTCTCCAGTGGTCCCTCGATCTATTCCTTCTACTTCAGCTGGTCCTTCTACTAGTGCCCCACCAAGTTCCTCGAGTTCTTCTCCCATCAAGAAGGCACTTCAGGCAATTTTCTATATGTGTGCTAAGACTGCCAAGAAAGTGAAGAAGATCGAAAGGCGTTAGAAGGAAGATAGAAGAGAGGCTGGGAAAGAAGTGTCAGATGATTCTGAGGATGAGGTCTATGTTGATCCATTTGAGGCTTATGAGGCAGCCCGCAACGTTGTCGGTGAAGGTCCATCCACCTTCTTCAATGAAGAATCTTCCCATTCTGATGATGATGATGATGATGATGATGATGATGATGATGATGATGGTGATCAGGGTGACACTGAGGCAGCTGCTGAGGATGCCCCCACTGATGTTAATGAGGGTGACACCGCTGCTCAGTCCGATGAGTCTCATCTCTCCGGCGATATCGAGATTGTTCCCTCTGATGGAGATGAGTGATCCTCTTCTTCTCTTCATAGTTTCTCGCCTTTTTGGTACCTTGATGCCAAAGGGGGAGAAATTGTGAATTGAAGGGGGTCATTTAAATCCTTTTTGCTGCCTTGACTGTTGTCTGGTCATTTGGCCGGAAGTTCCGGGTCCTATGATCCGGAGGTTCCGGCCAGGCAGATTTCCTCTCTATTATCTCTCTCTATATGGACATGTAATCGTATTCTATTATGGTTGGATGTAATGACTGTTAGATGCTTTATTATCCTTTATGTCAGTAAGTTAGACCATATGGATGTTGCATTTTGATGTGATGATGTGTTCTTTTCATCTTTTTGAGTGATTGCCATGTCATCTAGTCTTTCTTTTTGCATCACTCATCATTCAAGCACTTTCATCTGCATCTCTTCTTTGATAAGGGTAGTGTGAGGTTTCTTTTGAGCTTTCCTTCATCCTATGCATATTGTTTTCATTTCTAGTTCTTTATATGCCTATCTTTAGGGGGAGCTTCACACTTCTCTCATCACCCAAAATATAAATTCTATTATCTTTTTGTTTGCTTTAACCATGTTGTCATCAATCACCAAAAAGGGGGAGATTGAAGATGCACTTAAACCCCCTGGTGGGTTTTGGTGATCAATAACAAGGTGGTTAAAGGGGACTAACGTGTTTATCAAGTTTATTCATAGGAGTTCAGTCCTAAAGCAAGTTTTGATGACTAAGAATGCAAGGAGACCCCCCCCCCCAATTTGAATCTTCCTAAGTGCGAAAAACACCGAAGGTGATTAGACTAGGTTTTTCTCTTTCGAAATTGAGTTTAGGAAAAACCGTACTATTAAGAGGGGTTTCAAGTGTGGTTCTAGGGTATACAAAGTGCTCTTAGTCATATCCATAAGTCAAAAGATTTTTGGAATCATTTTTGAAAAATGATTTTCTCCCCGGGACAGAAAGGGCTACCCGGAGGTTCTGGCCGGAACTTCCGGGCACCGTTTATTTGCAAAAAATTTCCTAAGTGTTGCCCGGAAGTTCCTGGCACTTTTGCTCGGAACCTCCTGGCAGGTTTCCAGTTCAAACTTGTGAGTAACGGCTAGATGACGTCACCTAGCCGTTATATATATGAATTTCGTCCCCAGGTCACCTTTTGGCCATTCCACTTCTGTTCATTCATGTTCTAGGGTTTTCTAGCCACTCCCAAGCTTCCTTTGCTTCCTCCACTCAAATCTAGAGACTATCTTGTGAGATTGAGAGATTAGATGAGAGTGTAGGAGTGTTTTGGAGATGGCTTGAAGATTAGGTTTGATTGAGAACTTTGGATACCTTGTGGGCTGTCACTTGGGCTTATTACTCTTGGAGATCTTCTCCTAGATGGTTAGGCGTCGCCCGTGAGCTTCCAAAGATCTTGTGGATGTCCCGGGAAAGTTTGTGAAGGTTTTCCTCACCTCCACAAGCAAACGAGGTAAGTGAGTAAAGTTTCTTGTGCTGAGTTTTCAGAGGTTGTCCTAGGTAGAGCAACTTGCACTTGTGGTCTTTTCTAGAAGGAATTGTGAGTTGGATCTTGGTGGTCACTCAATTCTAGAAAACAACCTAGAAGTGTTGAGTTGAAGACTGTGGACCTCTTCTGGGATGAAGCATAAGTGAGGCAAGGGGTTAATCGAGACCCGGCTCTTTGGAGCACCTCAACGGAGAGTAGGATCCGTGTGATCCGAACTTCGGAAAAAACTCGCCTTTGTCTCTCGTGTGCTTGATCTGTGTTTGAATCTGCTGGTATCTTGTGATTTTCATCTTGTGCAACCCTGTGCCTGATTTTCACTAGCTAGGACCTGTTATACTTCTCATATTTCGTTTTTCTCTGTTGCCCGGAAGTTCCTGGCTCAAGAACTCCGGAAGTTCCGGGCTGCTCATCACTGCTAGGATGTTCCGGTGTTCATCACTAGGAGGTTCTGGGCCCTGTCAATTTAACCGCTGCGTTTGTTGAGAAAATTGCAGGAAAGCCTATTCACCCCCCCCCCCTCTAGGCTACATCTCTGCACGTTCAGGGGAGAGCGGCATCGGCTTGACGGCTCGCTAGGTTTGGCGATAGCGCAGTGGTCCCTGGCTGCATCGAGGCATGGCGAGAGGAGCGGAAGGCGCGCGACGGTTGGCTTGCCGGCGAAGGGCGGCCATGCGGGCCTATATGGGTGGGCGGCGGCGATCGAACGGCGCTGCACGCTGCGAGGAGCGGCTGGTGGCTCTACTTGCTAGGCTGGCTTGACCGGCTGGGCCAAGGCAGGCCCGGTGGCTTGGGCCGGATAGGAGAGACAGAAGGAGAGAAAAGGAAGGCCAGACGAAAGAATAGGAGGTGAAGTCAACTTCTAGCAGATGGGGTTAGGGTTTGGATGGGCTAGGCTGGCCTGAAGTGGAAAGAAAAAGGTCAAAGAGGGAAAACTGGGGGCCAAAAACAGACTTTTCCTAGAAAGGTTTTTCAACAAAAGATGGTTTGGAATTTATTTCATAAATTGGACTTTTTGATAAATACTTTATTAATAGTATTTGCTTACGAAAATAATCAGGGAATCAACCCTTATAAGGGATTTTTAGAAACTAAATAATTTGAAATTTTCATTTGTAAAATAATCGCTTAAAGAGATATTAATTCATAAAAGAGTTTTTTTAAGGAACATACATAGCATTTACTTTTATTTGAAAATAAATCATTAATTAATATTATTTCATAATCATGGTTCTTTAATGAACATTATTCTAAATTCAAAATTGAATTTAGAATTTGAAAATAACCTTAAACTTTATTTAATTGAGGCACTGGCACAACAAGAAAAGAAAAGAAAATAAAATCCAACAAATACCAATATGAACGAACTTTGACAAACATTTCTTTATTATTCCCATTTTTTGTTTCTGGATTTTAAAACTTGAAAATTTCAGGGTGCTACAAACACCTCGAGCACCTGGTCCACAAACCCCGTGAGGCGAGGTGTTCAATGACAACGGTGTATGTGCCGGTGTTCGGAAGTGCACCTTCATGGACCATGGAGGAGGTTGTGTGCAGCATGCCCAGGATGGCAGAGGCAAGTGAGAGGCAGTGAGGGAAGGGGAAAGGAGGCAAGGAGGGACCGAAGGTTGGGGAACACTACAAAGGAGGCAAGGGTCTGGAAGAGTTGGAGCCGGTTGTGGCAGGAGGGTCGTCTCCGCCAACGAGTCCATGGCCGCCTAAGCTAGCTCCACTTCTCATATAACTGCTACCATCAATCCTCCACCATGAGCTCGGTGACGCTGTGGCTACCACCCTTGACGACCTAGGGGAAATATGGGAAGACAAGGGAGAAGGAAGCGAGAAGGAAGAAGACTGAGACATTGATTCCGGGAAAGAGGCGACAGAGGGCGGGAGAAGGGTATTCAGGACGAGCGGCTTGCGACCTGTGGGCGATAGGTGCAGCTCTAGCGATGACCCCCAGCAGCACCAACACCCCAAGTACGAGAGAGACACTATGCATGGACATGTGGCAGTGGGTGGTGCCACCAGTCCTCCTTGGCTTCCTCTTACTCTGTCCTCTCTGTCGCCTTTGGGGCATTCCCTGCGGCTTCTCCTTCTCGTTCCTCTCCGGTAGTTCCTCCTGGACTACCGCGGTGTCCACCTCCTACTCTTCCGCAACCATGGCACCACCGTGAAGCTCGCCGTCACTGACCCATCGAGACGCGCCTGCTACCCTATCAATGTGCCCACCACCGACATCCTTGTCGGCCTCCTCTCCTGCCACCGGCGCAGTCTGGTTCACGCACTAGCGCACCACACCCCTTGTATAAGAGGGAGCAGTAGTCGTGGCCGGATGGGAGCGGTACAAAATTCTACCTTCGAGTACTTGGGATATTAGTGATACACAATTTTACATAAAGAATATGATACCTTCTAGTATCTCCTCAAGAAAATTTTATTAGAGATGCAAATAAACTTACATATACTAAAGTACAATTAGCAATCACTTGGTAGCTAGAAACAAGTTCAAAATATGGCACCAAATCTTCATAGCAAAACTATTGTGTTTTTCTCTTCGATAATGGAATTAAACTCAGCCTCTACATCACATATTATCCGCCCACCATAGTATTAATCTAGTTTAGTTCATGAACCGATTGCTAATGGTTCGATCGAGATGATAGATATATGTTGGTTCACATGACGGCGCAGGCGTTGGGGTTGTCGTCGCTGAAGAGGGTGGCGAGGCGCTCCTCCTGGCTGGGGGTGACCGGCAGCACGGCGTCCACCCGGCGGATGTGCCCGTTCGGCGCCTTCTTGTCGTACGCCGCCGGCGGCGCCACGTACGGGTTGGTGTAGGGGACGTACGGCCACAGCTCGGTGCGCTTCCCCGTCGACTGCGCCCGCCGCAGCACCCGCTGCGTGTCCACCATCCCCTGCACCGTCACCTTCTGCTGCTTCCTGTTTATCTCCACCGACTGCACCCCTGCGTCCATATATATACGTACTCCATAATAAACTCACCGCCTCAGCTAGCGTACATAACCTGACATCTCTGTGACGGGTTATAGTTTGAAACCTTACATTGGAATTGTTACATATGTCGGTTCCAAACCAAAACCCGTCACAGAAATTAAATCCCCATTTGTAGAAGTGTTTCGAACACTTTTTTTCTTGGATTGAAACAAATTAACCTAGTCGATCGTTTTGGCTTTCGCAAACGGTGGTTTTTGACTAATTAAATTTGGCTTGTGTGGAGACCATTATATATTGTGTCAGAGAGTTCACGTCGTAGTACCTTTCATGTTGGCAAGGGTGTTCCTGACCTTGAGCTCGCAGCCGTCGCAGTCCATCCTCACCTTCAGCTCCACCGTGTTGAACTGCCTCTTCTTCTTGTGGCTAGTCTTGCCGCTGCTGCCACCCAGCAGCAGATCAGACAGGTAGTGCAGCGTGCCTCCCATGCTTCTCAACTTTGCCTCTAATGAAAGTTACTAATCAAGTGCAAACTCTACTAATTAATTATAGAAGAAACTTTTCCCTGGAAAGAGATAAGAGATCAAGTACTGTAATCTCTAGCTAGCTTGGGTAATTTGGTGACATGCTATTTGTAATGGCTGCTTATATATAGACAGAGGATGCAGGGAGAGAATCAGAGAAGGCAATTTGTGCACATCAAGGTCAGGATGCAGTGATGCAGCTAAGGATTAGTGTGTGGGAGTTGCTGGCAAAGAGCTTTCTCTGAGATGCCTTTGTTCCTTCCTACCTTTGCTTTGCTTTCCTTTGCTTCCTCCTACACAGCTCACTGCACACGCTGACCTGATTACACATTTTGCCACACATGATTGTTCTTATATAGGAGAGTTCCAGCTCTCAAATGATATAAAGCCATGGCCGACCACTGTTGATAAAGTAGAGATGATATATTCGCCCCCTGTACCTGCTCATTAATTTGAAAGGCTTAACAACATAAAACAAACAAAAAGAAAAATAGAAGTACTCCGTCCAGTCAAATATCAAATATTTTTACTAGAGGGAGTATCTCCTCATCCATGCTTACCTTGTTTTGTAGTACAGACTGGAATGGCCGAAAAACAACATGCCCACATGCACGTGCAAAATATCTTATTTCAATACATTATTGTGCAGTTTGAAAACATTATTGACTGGATTATTCTAGTGGATTATATGTCTACGTAATTACAGGAATAAATATATTAACAAAATAACAAGTAAAAATAAAAAATAGCTTAAACAATTAAAAAAAAAGAATTCAGGGCTTCTTTTGAAACACATGATTGAGAAAACGAATGCAAAACAAAGTATTATAAAACATAAGAGAAAAAAAATACAAGAATGATCGTTTCAGTAAAACACAGGGAAAAATAGAGGAATAGGATGAAACACATATACTCAAAATAAAATTTTAGATAGATTGAAGTTCTTGCCAACTTTCTTCCAAAATATGTATAAGATTGATCATTTTATAAGAATATTAAAAAAATCAATCATTTGTTTCAAAGACATTCCAAGGAATTTATCTTACGATTAAAATCCTCCAAATTTTATTTGTTTTTCCTAAAAATCAAAGAGTGCCTCGGTATGAAACTCAGAACTGAAACATAAATATTCCCTGAGCTGGTGAAGTTCTTTCGGCCGGCCTTCACCTAACTCGATCACCCATCAAAAACAAAATCTCACTTTTCTCGTGATGCAAAAATCTTTAGAAAGAACAGTGACAGGGAATGGTGAATTTTGGGTATAGCTAGGATGACCATTCCACAATTGTTCAAGATATTGGATTAATGTGTAGACGTATATAGAACGACATTCCGACACTTTTAGTAAAATATCTTCAAGTGGTTAATTAATTCGTGAGATGCATGGGATATTACATATATATACTAGTTTCTAAAATTGCGACTTTGATATAGTCCATTCATTCAGTAAATAAGGGGAGACCTGAAAGTGTTGCTCTAGTTCCTCTAGCACTTAGGTGCTTGGTGCTGCCTAACCCTCTTTGAACGGCAGCCGGTCAGTCATCTTTTCCTAATTAACTTCATTCGTCTTTTCGTCCACCTTAATTTGCAGAAAAAGCGTGCAAAATTGTGATGTCGTCAGTCTTCGTCCTGCCCTAAGTGGATGCATGATCGTATAGTATATACAAATTAAAGTACTCTAAGTGCTACTCCCTCCGTCCCAAAATATAAGTATTTTTGTACCCTGACACGGTCTCCGAGATACTATTTTGACCAACAATATCTATAAAAATAGTTTGTTTAATGATAAATCTAGTAACATCAATTTTATATAATTGATTTTTTTATTTTTTATTAATAGTCAAAGTTAAAAATGTTTTTTTGCGATGAAAGTTAAAAATGTTGACTTGTCACTATGCTAAAAATGCTTATATTTTCGGAAGGAGGGAGTAGCTAATACATGAATTCCAATAGTTAACAACAAGGAAACTACGAAAATAAATAGTTTTTACATCTCCTTAATTAATCGACTATAGCAAAACTAACACAGAGAGATGGCTGGCTAGCTCTAGTGGCCATGCCATCGTTAGTTTTCACTTACCAATGAGCAAACAAAAAGTATATAATGGCAAAATTTGCTCTAAAGTGTTTGATTGCAATTTGTTAAATTACAATTTGCGGCTAATATTTTATTTTATTTTATTTTGCTCAAATGGAGACAGAAGATTTTAGAAATGACACTTTTACCCTGTGGTAACTTAGGCCAGGGTTCTATATTTTGAACTGCAATTTCGAAACAAAGGGTATTTTTCCCTACTAGGATATCATCATCACAAAACGTATTAAATTTCTGAGTTTATAAAAATTTGTTTAGATTTAACCAATATTTATTTATTGTTGCTTTACATTTTGAAATTTTCAGAAAATTCCTTTCTATTGCCCCCTAAAAAAAGAAATTAAAAAAATTTTATCTCTGTAATTTGGGACAAGTTTTCATGTTTGCCAAATTTCTTTAAATTCAGCCAATTTTTGTTTAGCTTGATGCTACATCATGCGAAACAACTCTAAATATTGACCAAAGATACATATATATATCTTAAAAATTGAATAGCTTCCAATTTGGAGATCAAGCACGGTCGCTTTAAAACTTTTGTAAAAGCTTAATTAGGGTTGCAAAATATACTCCTACCATCCATTCAAAAATATACTCCTTCCACTTCTCAACCTGGTCTTTCAAGTCAAAATTGTGCGCAAAGTTTTGTTCGTCATATTTACGAGAGAAAATTGCACGCAACAAGGTGCTTATATATGTCCAGTGAGATTCCAAGGAGAAGACTTTGCAGTGTGTTGAGCGCGAAATTTGGCATTGAAGAAGAGAAAAGAAGGAACAAAGAATATATATCAACTCAGCTTTTCTCTTTTGTTCTAATTTGACTATATATGATGTATTAGTAAGATCTTGACCATCTAAACGTAGATGATAAGATCGAACTAGCTTGTCTAGATGGGACTTATCTCCTTAATGCCTGGCTGAAGATACTCCGAAATAATGGATGGCCAAAAATTTATGCGTAGCTGAAAGGCCACCAAAGAATATATTGACCCTAGAGGTGCTACGAAGCATGACAAAATGTTGGAAAATCATATGAACTTTAAAGGAATCACTGTCCTTATATAACATGGCTCATTGTCTTGGGGTTCCTTACATTTGTCGATTGAGGGAAATCAAAATATAACCACGCGTAAATTTTCACTCATATCCTAATTAAATGTTTTGAATTAAATAGTTATTGTGATTACACTATTCATTTACTCTCTCCGTCTAAAAATAAATCAACTTTTCTAAAGCATGACAAAATGTTTGAAAGTCAAATGAACCAAAGGAATCACTACTCGTGCATTATCTTGGGATTCAAAACATTTGTCTATTGATAAGAAATGAAAACATAACTATTGCAAGTTTTCATTCGTTTCCTAATTAAATGTTATGAATTAAATAGTTGTAGTGATTACATCAAACAATTATTCTCTTCATCCGAAAATAAGTAAACTTTTGTATTTGAATCTGAACATAATTGATTTATATACAAAAGTTAAATTATTTTAGGACGGATGGACTACCAAAGTATACAAGGTCTGTTTCCATTAATTTTCTTGTTAATTTTCACGCGCTTCCTTGTGTTGTTAAGTTCATATGCACCCTAAGCTTCATTCTCATTTTATACAAAAGAGTTAATAATAAATACTCCTACGTTGGAGTATATGGACATGTGGAACCAATCCACAACACACACCATATATACCAATTATATGGTTGTGAGGTACTACAAACCATGTACGACTGCAAATAACGAACCCAGGGAATGATCAATGATGAACGTGGAATATGACAATCGACCACTTTTACGAGAGGAGAATATGAGGCTAGCTTAATTGGTGACGCACTGTAGATCGAGCTGGAAATTAAACAGTGACCTACTACCTAACTTGGAACAAGTACCTTCCGATTATTAGGCCCCACACACATCACAATCTATAGTCATGCTAACTAAGGAATTCGTACGTGTCTAGAATTAACCATTCGAATTTTGTGATTGTGATTGATCAACACACTTGACACATCCAATTAGTTATGTACTGCATGTGATTTCTGCATGCTTAATTTTTTTTATTTTGGGGTTTGATCTATATACATTTATAATAGAAAACTCTCAAGTTGAATTAAAGTTCTTCTCATGAACAGCACATTATTGTCAATCTATCCAATTTTTTTCAGCTTTCCCCCCTTATTAAAAGGTAAATAAAAGCTCTTTTTTGGCAATTGACTTTTGCTTGAAGTTGGTTGTTTTTCATCCCAAAACTTTCAAAAATCGAAAAATTAACACTTTACAACATACTGTATTATTTTTAGCGGTTTTTGTTTGAAAACAAAGCGAGTTTTTTAAGTTCATATTCTTTCTGTGCACATTTTGTTGATGTATATGTTGCTTTTAGGGCCACAACTATGAAATGGAAGTAGTAGCTAAAAAATATTCGATGGTTTTTCTCCCCCAAACTTTTGAATTTGTGACCACCGGATTGTCTTGAGATTTGGGCGGCATACAAGGAAAAAAACTGCAAGTCATCCTTGGGAGGGAGTCAAACCCACAACATGTGGCTTCAAAGCTTGTGAAGGTAGCCACAACTTCCGGGGGTAAATTTTGACAAGTTATGTATAAACTAGATTGCAATTATAGTAATTATTGTGTAGTTATAATTTAATTACATTTCAAATATGCTATATACTTATATTTGGTTTAATGTTGTTTGGCTGATCTTCAAGTAAATTATCGAATGTTGTATGGCTGATCCCCTATGAAATTACCTAATTGAAGTTCATGGTAGGGATAAACCACTTTCATACCGATTAAAAGTTTAAAACACCATAAAATATATTATGGATGTTATTATTTTTTTAAAAAAGCTAAGGATGAAAAAAAAATTGGTTCTGTGTTGGAAGTGAAAAATATATTTTGAGCAAATTCAATTACCAAACATAGACTTTTTTCCAATAAGGATAAAATGTGATTATATATTTCTGACCTCTGGATACTGTGCACACACAAACCAACCAACAAAAACCATTGTCCCCTGTTTGATCAGGATGATGACTTGCATATTGTAGCATCCATCTTGACATCGAATCCATGATAGGTAGGAACCACAGCTGCATGTATCTCACTACTACTCCACTCATCAACGGCTGGCTTTTGACAATTAAGCGACGATCCATGGAGCGCGAAAATAGAACCGCTCTTTTGGAAAAAAAAGAAAGAGAGATCGAGATCGCGTACTGCGGGTCTGTTTGGTTGT